TTTTACATTTAAAATAAATAATTAAAAAAAATTTATCAAACATATATATATTTAAAAATACTGTACAACTACCTGAAAAAGCCCTCAACCGAGTCCTAAACGCACCATAAGTCACTGGGGCTTTGTCCCTGTTAAATTTGATTTTTATTTATTTATTTTTCCGTCTTTGGACTTCTAACGTGCAATTGACGGTGTTACTGCACTGTTATAACGGTAATGGTCGGACGGACTGTACATATTTCTAAATCTATAAGGATTTTACTTGCCACAAATATTGTTTGAGGATATATTTTTTATGGAAACATTGTTTAAGGAATTTTCTTGATGGAGTTTCCTATTTCTTATGCTCATCAGGGATTTTTCTTGCCATTCAAAATTTTTTCCTGCGCTTAATTCAGTTCCCACAACATTCAAACAGGATTCTTTGAGGCGTGTTAAGGCAACCTATATCCTTACTTTATTTTGCTTTATCTCAACCAATCTTTGCTGGTGAATTGCTGTCAAAGAGAAAGGTTTCTTTGATTTCTTGGCTTTTCTAGTTTTTCTCTAGAAAACTACAGTTCAACTGTCTGTTGAGTGTTGATATTCCTTTGAAGGGATTTCTTTTTCTTTATTTATTTATTTATTTTTAGATTATTGGGTACAGAGGCAATTGAGAGAATCTTGAGAGGTTTACAAGCTGAGATTATCTATTCAGGGGCTGTGAAGTACTGAGCAAAGATGGGGTCTTTCAGTGGATTAGGTATTGGGTTAAGTCTGGTGTTTGGTTGCCTTCTTTTGGCTCTTGTTGCGGAACTTTACTATCTGCTTTGGTGGAAGAAGAGAATTACCGGAGGGGAGAAAAAACATGATTATAGCAATTATGCAAAGGGGTTGATTCAGCTTTTCCGCAGGAAGGTATCAGCTTCTCTGCATTCGACCACCACCAATGGCAGCAATCAAGATACTGTCGAAGGCCCAGATGCCAATGGTGATCTTGAGTCAGACCCAGAACTTGGTTCAAGCAAGGATTCGTTGCTGAAGCCTTTTGCAGGGGAAGAAAGTGTAGAAGCAGAACTCATGAGGCTATACAATCTGGCCGGACCGCCAAGAAATCTCTTCACAATTAAGGAGGAAACTAGGGAAGATTTGGAGTTCGATGATGGCAAATCTAGAAGTGAGAGCAGCAGGAAAGGATCCAGAACAGGAAGCTTGATGAGTGATCTTGTCCTGACCGCTGACAACCCTTATCTCAGTCCTCTGGCTTCCCCACCTTCAAGGTCTCCTTTGAGTTCTTTCCACTCATATCACCACCGCGGATTCAATCCTCTCTTTGAATCATCAACAGGACCTGAATTGAATATTTTGAAATCTTCACCTCCTTCAACACTCAAGTTCTTGAAGGATGCCGAGGAGAAATTTCTCAGAAGAATGAAGGAAGAAGCTGAGAAAAGGGCTCAGAAAAATGGTGGATCTGTTCAAGATTCTGATCCTGTTAAGCCTCCTAACAGTTCAAAACTGGTAGCAGAAGAGATTGACGGTTCTTTTCTCAAATTCATTGTTGGGAAGAACATTTACCCTACAACATTAAGCGTGCAGTAATTTTCAGTGCTCAGTTTTTTTATTCTTTTCACTTGTCCATCAATTCTTCAAGATAGTTGCTTGAGTATTAATTTAAAAGATACACTTCCTTTTTTTTCAAAAAACCTATTGATTTTCATCCGGGGTTCCTGTAGGATACTTGACTGCTTCCTAATTTGGGTAAGATAGACATAGTCTTATAGCCATCACCAATCTGCAACTTTTGTTAAGACAATCTGAAAACCCTGCAGAATGCAGATTCATTGCAATAAGTTTTCTAGTTCAGAGTGGGGGGACCTGTGGGGGCAATTCTGTTATTGCCGCCTCTCATGTTCTTGTCTCCTTAGCCGATACAATATAGTTATCATTCATTTATGTTGATGTTGCTCTAATTTATTTTTTCAGTCCTCATTTTTCAAAAGGACAAGTAGTGCTTCAATTACTTGCCTCGTCCGGCCTTCATAATTTTTTTATCTCGAAATGTTTGGCTCTAAAACATTGTAATGATATTAGTAAGTTTATCATGATTTAGGTAGCCTTTTAACATCAATATTTGGACAAAGCTAATTCCCATCCATGGATGATGAATAAGACATTCTCGCTTACGCGTTAAAACTCGATCCAAATGCTATCCAGCTGCTAATGTTGTTGCACCATTAGAATATATATAGTTGAAAACTT